TAGTCCAAACTCCTTAAAATGGGCTACATACAGGAGTACATTGAGAACTACTATAAGCGTTGTCCAGGGATATTAGGAGATTAGACTACCTGGACCCCAAAAGTATGTAAAATAATGGCCTTTGTGGCTGTTGTTTTGGGTTTAGGGCTATTATTTTACAGACTTTTGGGGTATAGGTATGGCTCACGTGAAGTACAGCTTGCGCAGGGTTGTGTCACGAGGGGTGATGAACCCAATTTGAAAATGATTTTGCTATGAGCTAATCAGCAAACCTCAACGTCCAACAGGGCATGATTGGGGACGTTGATGTGAAAGTTTCCAGAAGTAAGAGCGACGTGATAGAATATAACCCTGATTTGCGTGGCACTTGTTAAAAAGGAGCTCCAATTTCGTTGGAAACTCCTACGTATTCGATCGGTGGTAGCCATCGCTTGCGCATAAACCTGAATACTAAGCCGCTTCAAATTTTTGGGGTTGAGTTAGCAACATCCGCGTCATACTCAACCCCAAGTCGTCGAAGTAACCAATTGATAGATTTATACCGTCAAATAGATTCCTGAATGGTTTTCGGTAGCTAAAGACCTAGTGTTGGGTACTTTGCCCCTCGAGACTAGATTTACCCCACAGCCTATGTGCCCTAATCCTAAGCCCTACCACTCTAATCCGCAGACCCTAGACCCTCAAAGTCCCTAAACCCTAATCCCTAAACTCCCTAATCCCTAGACATTGAAGCCCTTGACCCCAAACGCTTAAGGTCTATCTGGACCCCAAAAGTAGGTAAACCAAGGGGGCTTCTTGTTATTTTGAATACTGTTGAGGTCCAAGTAAATCTGTCCGCAATCCTAAAACATAGATCCTTACCCTAGGCCCAAACCCTAGACCCTAAACCTTGAATTTTAATAAGCCCTAAACCCTAAACCCTTAACTCTAAGCCCTAAACCCTAAACCCTTCATCCATAGCCCTATGCCCTAAACCCTTGTTCTAAAGTTGTAAGCCCTAAACCCTTAAGCTAAAAACCCTGAACCCCTTAGCCCGGTTAATCCTGGCCTCCCTCGAAGGCTCCTCCGGCACCGGGGACGGCTCCCGCCGAACCTGCAAAACCCAGAGCTCCAACTGATGGAAGAATTCCAAAAGTAGGGCTACCTTTTTGGGGTTCCCCGTAAGACGGAATGTGGTATTTGCTGGTCTATATTGGGTTCCATATTACGGAACACGTATGATGACATGGACAAAAGCAGGCTAGGCGTTAAAGTAGGTAAAACAAGACCCCAACCTATGCAAAGTGGTAGGAAAGACGCCCTAAACCTACTACACCCTAAGCCCCAAGCCTTAAACCTCGTGGGCCATCGACTTTCTTGATACCGTGAGGCCTCCGAGCAAGCCTTTCCGAATTCAAGGGGTGTATAGGGTTTGGGGTTCAGGGTATAGGGCTGTAGGGTTTAGGGTTTAGGGCTATGTTACACTACAAGATGATAACCAAGCAAAAGCATATATGAATGTTCTCAACTGCTGCGGCTTGGATTTTCTGCCTGCAGGGCCATGGATACCCGTAACGTCCTTTAGCGCAATACTGAGCCCCTGCCCCCTAAAATCGCAACAATTCAGGGAACACTTCCCGCTCCATGTGGGTGAAAAATGCCCTAAACTCTAATTCTAAAAGCCTAGTTGCGTGACAATTACCCAATCCTAAACCCTAAGACCCTAGACTCTAAATAACCTCATGAACCCTCAAGCAAGCCCTCAGGGTTTACGTAAGGTGAACCCTGAACTAAACTGGCCTCAGAACCCCACTAAAAATTCAAATTTTTACTTGCCACTAGGATTATAAGGCCCAAGAATTTCAAAAAAACTTATTTTGGAGGCCCCTAAAGTGAACCCTAAACCCTAAATCCTCTAAACCGTCTAACCCCGTAAACACCCGTGAGCCCCCCAACTGGCGCCTCAAAGGTTGGGTATGGGATGGTCAAGTACCGTGTCCGCTTCCGAGGGACGTCCTTCACTTCCCGAAGTGTTTTGGGGTGATTAGGGTTAAGGGTTTAGGGCTTAAGGGTTTAGGGCTTAAATGAACCCCAAAAGTTTGTAAAATCATGGCCTTTTGGGCCATTATTACGGGTTTTTGGGCTATTATTTTACCTACTTTTGGGGTCCAGGTAGGCTTTAAGGGTTTAGGGTTGAAGGGCTTAGGGTTAGAGGCTTAGAGTCTAGGGTCCAAAGTACCCATATAGGGCATACTTACCCATATCATGGGGAAAGAACTTCGGACCTTTTGGGTTTGTTTGCAGCCGGGTCATTTACAATAGGGGCTAGGGAGTAGAATGTACAGATGAGGTTGATTAGTTTTAAGGGCTTCGGGACTTTAAGTTTAGAGTTTGGGGCTTCTAGGCTTTGGGAACAATATCTGCGACTGTTCGATGAGAGTCACTGGTAGCCGAAGAAGCAGCCGCACGGCCAGGATTGATTTCCTGCCAACCATTTGCTGAGCATCTGTCCAAGACTTGGAGAGATGCTTCATGCCCCTTTTATCCCTGTAGGACCACCGCTTAACGGAGAAACTTAGATATCCCTCTCGCTTATGGAGGAGGGCAAGGCAGGAGGTGTTCCAACTCGGCCTGTGCGTGAGACATTCTTGCCACTCCGCGTTCTCCAGCATGCAGCTTCAGACACCCTAAACCCTAAAGCGTGTCTAAGGTTTCATATTTCAAGGAACTTGGGCCCAAAGACCATACTACATAAGGCTTTGAGGTGATCTTGGGGAAGGGTCCAAAGTAACTACATAGCACGAAGTCTGGCTTTTGCAGGAGGAGTTCCCTTATGAGTAGTGTTTTTTTGGTGGTCAAACCTAGTAAGAGTAGGTCCCCTTTATAAAATACTATACCCCAAAAGAAGAATATACTATTACTCTATAATGGGTACCATAGTATCCGCAAATAAAATACTACTCTTATGATATGGGTAAGTAGCGGGCTACTTTGGACGCTTTGGGAAACATCGTGGTAAGGCGACTCCTGCTAGGCCACTGGGATTCCCCAGAGAATCTGGGTCGTACTCTAGGTTCCCCAAACGCGCTTTGGGGCTTCGTGTAGCTGACGCTACCCCACACTAACATGGAACCTCAAAAGGTTGAAAAGGGGTTTAGGGTTTAGGGTGCCTTCTAGACTACTTACTGCCCCTTCGAAAGGGGCTACACGGGGTTCCATGCTTGTTTGGAGGAGGGTAGAGTACAGGGGTTAGGATCTAGGAATCTAGGATATATCAGGTTGATGGTCTGTCTTAGCCCATCTCTACTTCAGACACACTCGAGCGAAGCTGAACTTCGATGATACGCACAACCTGAGATGGAATTACTGTTGGAAAATGTTTTGGGCTAGATATGCCCAATCAAAACTCCATCGTGTGGGGGTGGAACCCATGAACAATTAGAATCCCTATGGCGCCAGCAAGGGGATTTGCGTCACAGAAAGAGGCGCCAAAGCAAGGACCCCAAGATGGACCCATTGTGCTTCGCAGCGGGTGGTTTTTAGGGCTACCTGAACCCCAAAA